TCCTAGCCAGATCCCAGCCCCACTCCTGCACCCACCCTCCTAGCCAGATCCCCCACCCCACTCCTGCATCCTCCCTCCCATCCAATCCTCGTTCCCCCACCATCTCCTGTACCCATTTTGTCATCATGGATGGTTGGCTGGTGGTCCTTGGAAAGGTTTCAGTTGAGTTGAGTTTTCTATGGCTAAAAAATTTGAGAATCACTGTTGTACTGCTATGAACACCATTATGTTAGTACCGTTTATCATACTTTCCCACAGCAAAGGGGAGCACGACACCTACTAGATATGAGTTAGTTTTCAAATGCTTCCCTCCTTCCTGATTCAATTCTGCCTCTACCTTTTCTCCCTAATTGAAGAACCAGAGCCATGCCAGTTCTCAAAGATGGTCCCTCATAGGTTCTCTCAGCTGTGTTGTGTCTGCAGCTGTAAAAACAAAATCATTCTGTAAGCTGAAAAGTTTGTTTATCCTTCTGTAGCTCTTCTCCATGCATATGACTGGGAAATCCCTCATGCTACTCTCATTTCCTCTCAGATGCTTCTATCCTCTGTTTTCTGCAGACCTGATAACGGTCTCTCTCAGGGTTGTGGTTCCGTGACTCATGGTGGAAAGAACTAATGTAACACCATGCTGGTAGCTAAAAGGAACACACACAGAATGGGAGAAGAATAAAGAAAAATGTATGTTATTGTGACAGCGACTAGTAATCCTAAGCATCTCTAGTTTGGGTTTAAATTAGGGTTGTCAAGTGATTAAAAAGTGTCATTGTGATTAATCATGTGCGCTGCCCCTTTGAAATGTTGCAGCAGTGTTTCAAAGGGGCAGCGCTGTGGAAGCCCAGGATCAGCTGGAGTCCTCAGCTGATCATGGGCTCTGCTAGCGCTGCCCCTTTGAAACAGTGCTGCAGTGTTTCAAAGGGGTAGTGCTGCACAGAGCTCGGGATCAGCTGAAATCCCCAGCTGACCCCGGCTCCGTGCAGCACTGCCCTTTGGAAAGGCCGTCCTGGTGTTTCCAAGGGGCAGCACCATGGGAGCCCGGGGTCATCTGGAGGGCCCAGCTGATCCCAGGCACTGCGTTGCACTGCCCCTTTGAAGCGCTTCAAAGGGGCAGCGCAGCCTTAATGCCTGCAATTAATGCGTTGAAAAAATTAACACGCTAATCCTGCCCTGTGTTATTCGCAAGCGTTAACAGCTCTAGTTTAAATATGACACTACAAATGCCTGATCTTCAGAAAAAGCCTAGAACTGACCCTCTGAAGCTCAGGTTCTTTTAAGATGCCTAAAAATGAACATCCAGAATCACTAGTTACTTCGGAAAATTAAGGCTGTTGACACTGGAAGTTATCATCGCTGATTGGAGAGCCAGGTAGGTAGGAAGTGAAGAGGAGATCAATGCTGTAGGCAGTTGGGTACCTGTTTAGAAGAGCTGCACCCGGGAGCGAGGGAAGTACCTGAGAAGATCCTGGCCTGATGCCTGAAATCATCTTCCCCTATCGGCATGGCCATGAGTTGCTCTTCTTCCTGTTTCTTCTACAGCTAGAAGCTTGGCACTGCTGCTTTGTTCTCTTCATACCAGGGGCACAAAGACACATGCACGAGAAAACAGAAATCAAAATTCTACTGTCTGTACAGAATAAGCAGATATTCAGTCAAGGAATTTAGGAGATTACTGAGATTTGTTTGGCATCTAAGCTGCCTGAGTCACATCTGTCTGCCCTACACATTTTACACGTTCTACTAGCGTGTTCGCAGAGCTTCTGAGCACTTGCATTAATAATGATTAGGCTCATAGTTTCCAACCACTGTCAGGTGTGTGTATGGAGCTGTTTGGCTTATGGAACTGGCACTGCAAGCTGTCTGTGGAACTTCTAAGATCTTTTAAACAAATGTAACCCTTCTGCCAAGTGCATCCAGGGCCAGGTTCAATATCTATGGGTTCCTTTCCATCGATCCAGTACAGAACCAGCTTGAGCCCCCACGCAGTAAGCTGGGAAATTCACACATTGCCTCTAGGTGCCTCAGAGCCAATGCTTTCTCACTTGCAAGCACAGAGTCTTAATGTAGAAAAGAAACTTTTAATAAAAGGAGCGAACTAATGTGGCATTAATTTGGGAAAATGCTGCAAAAAAGATTCATAAACATAAACCAGGAATAAAAGTCGCACCCCAAGTATGTTGGGCAGTGTCCTTTTCCACTTAGGTATTTTAGGCCAGTAACCCAGAAGTCCCCTACACTGTCCTTAGTGAAGACAGGATAAGGTAGCAGCACCGTAAGGGCTCTCAGTTCACTCATCCTGTGGGCAGATGTTATTGCAAGCTGGAAGGCAACATTAATGGTCATCAGAGAGACAGGACAGGTCACCAAGGGCTTGATTGGGAGCAGAGTGAGTGTCCAGCTCCATCTCTAGATTCCATAATGAGGGTGGTGGTCTATAGAATAGGTTGAGATTGTTGTGCCCTTTGAGGAACCTTTTAGTAGTGGGGTGTGCAAAGAGCATCTATCTATTCTGGGATGGAAGGTGGTGATAGTGCAAGATGACAGAGCACTTGGTGATGGATTTCCCATTCGTGGTCTATGGCAAAGTGTCTGCTCAAAGTGTCCACTGTAGTATTGTTGATCCTGGGCAAATATGATGCAATAAGGTAACATTGTTGTGGATGCATCAATTCCATAGCCAAATAGCCTCCGCACAAAGAAAGCAGGAACAGGCCTTGCCTTAATAACAGCATTCTATATCAAGCATCATGTTGTCAGTGAGTATTCTGACCATGCAGTTGTGGATATGTGCATGGAAGTGTTTGCACGCGTTGGACACTGCTTATAGTTCCAGAAGGTCTATATGAAGAGCTGTTTCGCAGTCAGACGATCGACGCTGAGCAAAATGTACAGTTGGGCTCGTGGAAACCAGATCCTGTATTGACTGAAATCTTTGCATAGGTAAGTAGGCGCAGGCAGTAGGGATCGGAACAACTAGTTGACTATCCGATAAGCAAATGCTTATCGGATAGTCGATAGGCTAGTTGACTAGTTGCTTCCTCCCCCCTTCCTGCCTCTATCAGAACAAGGCAGTGGGGAAGAGGAGCTTCAAAGTGTCAGCGCTTCACGTAGCGCTGCCGCTTTGAAATGTCGTGTGCAGCCCGGGATCAGCTGGAGTGTCCCCAGGTTGCATATGGCATTTCAAAGCAGCACACCGCGTGAAGCCCGGAATCAGCTAGGGACTCCCCTGCTGACCCCGGGCTCTGTGCGGTGTTGCCACTTTGAAACACTGCGTGCAGCCTGATGCCGGGCTCCACATGGCATTTCAAACCAGCAATGCTGCACAGAGCCCAGGGTCAGCAGGGGAGTCCCCAGCTGATCCCGGGCTCCATGTGGCGCTGCCATTTTGAAACACCGTCGGGAGCACAGGACCACTGGGGGACTGCTCCACTAGCCCTGTGCTCCCCTCAGTACTTTTGCCTTTGAAGTGTAGCAACATCCTGACAGCTGTTGCTAAACTTCAAAGGTGGAGGCACCCGATCAACTAATTGAATAGTCAATGCAAATTGTGTTGATTATTTGATTAGTCAATTAATAAAAATTTAACATCCCTAGTGGGCAGTGATGGAGTCTAGCCTGGCACCTATAAAGTCCAGAGTCTGTGTTGGATGAAACGGGGATTTTTGCTCGCTGATAATGAGTCCCAATTATTCAGAGATTTCTGGCAGTACACATCACATCTTGTGTGTCTACATGGGATGAACCCTTTATAACACAATCGCCAAAATATAGGAAAATCATAATGCCCTGATGACGTAGATATGCTGTGATGATTGCCAGTGTCTTTGAAAACACTCTGGGGGCAGATGAGAGGCCAAAGGGCAAAACCCAATATTGGAAGTGTTCTGACACTATTGTGAAAAGAAGAAATCACCTGTGGTATGGATGAATGGTCACGTGAAAGACTGAGGGCTGCAAACCAGTCTCCCTTGTCCAACTCTGAGGTTATAAATGTTAGAGTAACCATTTTGAATCACTGCTTGTGTAAATATTTGTTGAACTTCTGAAGATTGAGGATGAGTCTCCGGCCTCCCATTCTTTTCTCCATGAGAAAGTAGTTGGAGTAGAAGCCTTTGCCTCTGAATTAGCCGGGCAATCTCTCAACTGCTCCTACGGCGAGGAGATGATATACTTCTTGTCTTAGGAGTGTCGTGTGAGAGGGCTCCCTGAAGAGGGATGGAGAAGGTGAGGAGGTTGGAGGAAGAGAGGTATTAGGGGATGGTGCACCCAGATGTTACAATCTTGAGGACCCAGCGGTCCTTGGAAATGGCAGTCCAAAGAGCGTAAAAGGGGTGCAAGTGGTGATGAAATATGCAAACATGCTCATGAAGCGGATGTGCAAGGAAGAGGTCGGGCAGACCTCTGACCAATGTCTCAAAATTGTTGTTGGACTCTTTAGTGGAGGAGCAGTTGTTCTGTGGTCACTTCCTCTGAGCTCGTGGTCTAGAGCGAGATTAGTCAAAGCCTCTCTGTTGATTTCAAGAGTACAAAAAAATCACAATGCCACTGGTAGGGTGTATAGCGTCTGCATTGGAATGGAGGCGTATACATGTCTAGGGTATGCAGAGTAGTGCGAGGATCCTTGCTTCCATGCAAGACCTCATTGGTCTTTGCTGCAAACAATGTATCTTTCTCAAAGGGGAGGTCCTCCACTTTGTTCTTCAGTTTTAGGGATTCCAGTGGCTTGGCGCCAAGAAGCACTCTGCATGACTATAGATGTTGCAGTAGAACAGGCATTCGTATCTGCAACATCAAGGGCCATCGGTAAAGCAGTGTGAGCCGTAGTATAGCCCTCCTGCGCTATGGACTTCAGGATGGGTCTTTTATTGTCTGGGAGATGGTCCATCAGCTCCGGAAGCTTAGAGTAGTTATCAAAATCGTGGTTGGCTAGGAGGGCTGAGTAACTGGCAATACAAAGCTGGAAAGTTGATGATGAATACACCTTTCTGCCATATATGTCCATGCCCTTTTGTAAGTAGGAGGGGCAGAAGCTGGGGTCTGCCATATTTCATCAGCTGCTTCCATGACTGCCTCATCAATAAGCAGTGCAATCTTGGCATGGAGGATAGGCTGGAGATTTTTCAGGAGATGATGTTGTTTCTCTTGGACCTCCGTGAGTTGGACTTCCTGACTGGTGCTACCCCTTTGAACAGTTCCTGGAATGGTTTCAAATCATCAGTTGGTGAGACATCTCCTGGAATGACCGCCTTGTCTGGAGAGGAAGAGGACTGCTCAGTAGGGAATGTGTCAGAATGCTGAGGCTCATCCTCGTCTACTATTTGGCCCTCCTTGGTCTGGGCCAGTTTGGTGGGTAGCAGGCTATGGGCACGTGATGATGGTGGGGGATGCCTCTTAGCTGGTGTGGATGAGACAGTGGATCGATGTCTGTACAATGAGAAATCATACCAGGGTAATCAATGTCCAGAGTAAGGTGGCGGGTAATGCCACTGCACCATCCAGAAAAGGGGATGGACATAGGACAACCTGTGTCTGTAACAGTTGTAATGAGATCTCATAGGTGAGGAATGCTCAGTTGAAAAGACACTCCTACAGCTGTCATCAAAGGCACTCCAAACTGGGGGTATCGGTGGTCTGGAAGACCAAACTGAGCCCGATGAGGAAGGGGGTGATAGGAAGATTTGTCAAGCGGCAGCGCCATGAGATTATCTGGTCTCCGGCACCAGAATGTGCAGAGATACATGCTGCTGCTGCATCCTAGGAGCCAGTATAGTGTGCGCTGAAGAATCCTCTATCAGTGCCAGTGTGCATGGTTCTGGGCTGGAAGCGCTAGGTAGTGCCGTGGCCAATTTTGAGAGTGCCTTAGTTGGTGCCGAGGGTTTTGCTGGCTCCAGTGGTGCCAGAGTGGTCGAATGTTTCTCCGATTCCTGTATCTTCAGCAGTGCCGATGCTGCGTGCCGAGACCTCCGTTCCATACTAATGGTGGAACAAGCGTTTGCAGTGCCAGATGTTCCCAGCTTATCCTCCATACTGACACTAGCAGATGAAGTAGGTGGGAGAGAGTGGGTTGGTGAAACTCTCTTCTTGGTGGAAGTTTTCGGTACCAGGGAGCTCGCTCTACATTTTTCAACCCTTGGAGGGCCCAAACGAGACGAGGAGTCTCTGGAGTCAACTGGTTGAAGTGCTTTGTTGTGCAGGAGCATGTGAAGATGCATCTCCCTGTCACGGTGCACTCTTGCTGTTAGTTTGCAGCAATGAGGGCATTTGTGGGGAATGTGTGCCTACCCCAGGCACCTAATACATGAAGAGTGCCCATGTGATGCCGGCATTAGCTCACGACAACTGTCACACTTTTTGAAGCCTGGTAAGCCCACCATGACAGAAGTTGTTTTTTTGTTTTCTCTCTCTCTCTCTTTTTTTTTTTTTTTTTTTTTTTTGATGTTTGAGGTGAGGCAGTGGTTAACTGCAGCCTACATCTTCCGCTCTCCACTTTTGTGTATTTGTATATGTGTGTGTTTTGAAAACAAGAACGAGTAACTAATGGGAAATGAGATAGTGAAAAATGCTAACGAACAAGAACTCTAACTAATCTTATCTTAATTTACTAGGTAAACCCTGAGGAGAGAGGTGAGTTCTGTCTGTGACCAAGAAGGAACTGAGGAGGGTCAGGCAGCACACATGAGGTACCAGGCACAAACGGCATGAGGCACCTAGTATGCATGTGCGGCCTAACCAGCTACTGCTATGGAAAACTCTGATCTGTGGCACCAGAATGACCCAACACCTCCAGTAGATCATCCATGGGGACATCATTCTAAGAACCTTCTTTGTCCTAAAAATGCATGACAACATTCTCTGATAATGCAAATATTAATAATTAATGTAGCCTAACACACTTGAATTAAAATATAATCCCAAGAAATAAAGGATATTTGGAAAGACACTAATTATTTTCACATTTTTAAATCTTGTTAATAAATCATTTTCCCATGTGTGTAATGTCAGGCTCCAGAATAATTAATAAAAATGACTACAGTAGAACCTTAGAATGATGAACAAAGTTATAAATGGACCAGTCAATCACATAACTCATTTGGAACCAGAAGTATACGATCAGGCAGCAGCAGAGCCAAAGAAACCAAAACCAAACACCTCCCTAAAAAAAAACCAAATACAGTATAGTACCATGTTAAGTATAAACTATTATAAAAAAGGGAAAGCATTTTTTCTTTTGCATAGTAAAGTTTCAAAGCTATATTAAGTCAATGTTCAGTTGTAAACTTTTGAAAGAAACCAATCATAACATTTTGTTCACAGGTGCAAACATTTCAGAATTACAAACAACTTCCATTCCTGAGGTGTTTGTAACTCTAAGATTTTACTGTATATTGGTGTAATAATAAGTAAATGTTTAAATGAATGCAAATCTGAAAATGCAAACTAGAGAGACATATACACACATCCATAAACAAGACAAACATTGTTCTTATAATCTCTTTACATAGGCAGACTATTTGTGATGTGAATTCTAATGGAAGCTAGGGTGGGTTTAGTTTTTCTGTTAGTTCTTTGTTCTTTTTTAGATGATATCATATATATAGTAGCCCAATGTCTGTGACTCTGTAACGCTGAAATACTGGCTGTTCCCTCTGGGCGGTGCTGTTGCCTTCCTAGCTGTTCCCTCTGGGCGGTGCTGTTGCCTGAGTCACGTCCTTTGCCTCTCACTGTGGCGCTCGGCTGACTTCTGCACTGCTCAGCCGTGCTGTCGCAGGGGAGCAAGCGGCCATTTGGGCTCCATGCTCCCCATGCAGCACTGGGTGAGAGGCAGGAGGGGGAGGAGAAGAGAAAGAGAGAGTGAGAGGCAGGAGGGAGAGGAGAAGAGAAAGAGAAAGACAGAGAGAGAGGCAGGAGGCGGAGGAGAGCTGAGAGAGAGAAAGAGAGGGGGAGGCAGTAAGAGGAGTGGAGAGAGAGAGAGTGAGAGACAGAGCGAGAGACCGGAGGTTCAGGAGAGAAGACCAAGGTGGAGGAGAGACTTGAAAATCTCGTCTTATGATGGGCTAATTGGCTAGTTTAAAAATAAACATCTTGTGAATGTAGTGTTTCTGAAAGCTGTTAGATTCATATGTTTGGCGATTAAATCCTCTGTTTATTCCCAGGACACTGCTTAGTTTTTCTGCCTTAATCATAAACTAGAGGGAACACTTCTAAGGGTGAAGGCTGTTCAATTCCCATACCTATTCCCACACCTATTCAAGCTTTGGCATACTTCTTGGCAGTCTCAGAAGAGTGACCAATCATGGTGGCAAAGTGTGATGTGGTTACTTATCAGCTAACAATTGGCTTGAAACCACCAATTCACAGACGATCAAAAACAATCAGATAGTAACAGATTTTAGAAATTGCTGGTTTGGCCTGGAGTGGTGAATATATGTATCCCAGCAGCCAGTGCAGTACTATCTGTCTATGGTCAAATGGATCTCTTTCCAGGAAATATCCCAGAGATTCATTCTGGTGC